TATCTGAATCTCTCTCCTCATGTCATCTTTGTCAGCTTTCGTCACCAGCTTCTTCTTCGAGATCGATTTGCAAGCGTATTTCTTCCCCGTCGAGTTCTCCGTGCACAGATACGTTACCCCGAATTGCCCTCGGCCTAACTCTTTGCCCAGTGTGTAGAACAGCTTCACGTCCTCGAAAGCGTTCTCTAGAATCGAATTGCTCTTTTTGGGGCTTGGTCCTGGGGCTGCCGCCGCCGCCGTTCTCCACGGTGGTGGTTGATTCACCCCGGAGGTTGGTTTCTCCGGCGTCTGGCTTCTCTGCTGTGGAGTATACGACGGCGGATCTTGGTTGGTCCCTCCTCCTCGTTGATCTACTTCAACTGATCTATTGGCATGCCCGTTTTGCTGAGGCTTTATGAATCCATTGCTCTTGGCAAAACAATTGCCCATGATTTTCAGCTCAAATTCCGACGACCCAGAGAAGAAATTTCGTAACTTAAGCTAAACTAGCTCAAATTCTGACGACCCTGAGAGAAAAGATCGCTGCTTTCGGAGGATATAAGTGAATTTTTTGAAGACGATCAAAGGAAGAAAAAACTGCAGAGAAATTTTAAAAAGGTCAGATCTTTTTTTTTAATGGAAAAGATATTATAATATAAAGACGTGGAAGCATCACCTCAGCAACGCTTTGAGATAATATTACCTTAATTCATCTAGCAAAAGAATGATGTTTTGCCAGATGGAGTTGAAAGACAAATGGTTAAACAAAGATCAAAAGGTTGGAAAATTTGCCGAGTTGTAACATGAGAAGCATGAAATTGAAATAGATCAAGAACAAGTGGTGGTAGGTTCGTATCATAAGAGAGGACGGCTTTCTTCTTTATAGGAAAGCTGTTGAAAAGTAAAAGAGTCTAATATCAACACCGAGTCAAAACTCTTTCTCCATAGACTATTAGTTTAATTTTGTTCTTAATTTTTTCCATCTGACATATTTCTTTGAATTGTTCCACCCAGTGGTCAGATAGGAAGGTTGACAATGATTATATGTTTTTTCCCTTGCATATTGTGTGTCTGAAAAATATCTATTGATGTTTTGATTTGGCTGTTTCGCTTACAGTGAAGAAGGACTGACCTATTAGGCGTTTTGAAGCTGTTTTTTGTGTGGCACTAGTAACGTCTTTGACTATATGTGTGGAGTCTTTTTTTGTTTTTTGTTTTGGTTCAACAATCAAATTATATCATTCCAATGTTCGTACAAAGATTTGTGATGCTCTACTAGAGCTAAGGCCCAATTTGGCACATAAGATTATAAGAATACAACTTGGAATCAAAATTCGATAAAGAAAGTGACTCTTTTGCAATCTTGTCTGCCACGTTATTACTTCTTCGTGGAGAATATACGATTCTCACCGTCTACCTTTTTTGGATGAGGTTTTGGATATCCCTAACTGGTAACATGAAACTTGCATAATTGTGAGGAATGTTGAAGAATATTTTTTTTAAATACACCAGTTAGTATTGAGGAATGTTGAAGAATAGGCATTGGAGAATTGTGAAGAGTGTTGAAGAATGGAGAAGAATAGTCATTTTTTTTCTTTTAAAAAAGATTCTTTATATATTATTATTTCACTTTAATGAATTTAATTTATGTTACAAAATAAAAAATACAACTAAAAATTTATAACTAAAACTTTTCTTATAATTTAAATTATTAACAAATTTAAATGAATGAATATTTAGGTTTTTTTTTTCTCTCAAGTGGAATGTCAAAAGAAAAAAAAAAAACTAAGAGTGGGACAATTGATGTAACATCCGTAGCTCTGGAGTTTTGGGGTTGTGTCGGGCGACGCAAGGTGTGCGTCGGTCGACACAAGAATTGCAAAATCAGACCCGGTTCAATTTAAGTGAAATGGGACCCGGTTTAGTCCGGTTAAGGGTTGGAAATCCTGATTTTCGAGTTTAAAGAAGGAGCAGCCGTTTTTCTTCCTCACTTTTGTCCTTTTGCGAAAAGGAGAAGTTCCTGAGGAGGGCTGGGCGATTTTGGAGAGATCTGTGGTGTTCTTGGGCGAATCTGAGGCGGATCTGTTGCTGTTCTTCATTGTTTTCTCTTCATCTTCCTTTTTCAATCCAATTCAAGGTGAGTGCATGACTGTAGGTCCGCAAATCACTAGATCTGGATTGATTGAATGTTGTTCTTGAGGTGTTCTTATGATATAAGGTTTATGTGATGATGTTTGGTTGATTCTTGTGTTAATTTGGTGTTTCTGCGTGTTTTGTTGATATCTCTGTCGACCTGACGGACATGCGTCGGGCGACGCAAAGCTTGTAACATCCCGGTTTGTGATAAATGAGGAGAGGCTTAAGAGAATTGATTTGGCTACCTATGTCAACAAAGTGCACTTACCTTTTCGGTCAAAGGTCTATAAGTAACTCCAGTTAAGCGTGCTTGTGCTGGAGTAGTTGAAGGATGGGTGACCTTTCGGGAAGTGGTTTCCGAAACCGTGTGAGTGAGGCCAAAACACGGGGAAAGGTCAGGTGTTGATTGCAGGGATAGTAAACAAGTCATTAGAGCCTCTCGAAAATAACGGACCGGCCGTCGGACAGGGGTGAGGCCCGAGATGGGCCCAGAGAGAGGGCGTGGGTGACTCACCGGGAGGGGCGGTCGGGGCGTTATAATTTGGTATCAGAGCCAAACCCAGACGAGAGTGTGGAGTCAAGTTGAAGTGGCCTTGACTCACACCGTCAGGGGGTGACGATCCAGGTGCGCAACGAGGACGTTGCGCATAGTGAGTGGGGGTGAGTTGTAACATCCCGGTTTGTGATAAATGAGGAGAGGCTTAAGAGAATTGATTTGGCTACCTATGTCAACAAAGTGCACTTACCTTTTCGGTCAAAGGTCTATAAGTAACTCCAGTTAAGCGTGCTTGGCTGGAGTAGTTGAAGGATGGGTGACCTTTCGGGAAGTGGTTTCCGAAACCGTGTGAGTGAGGCCAAAACACGGGGAAAGGTCAGGTGTTGATTGCAGGGATAGTAAACAAGTCATTAGAGCCTCTCAAAAATAACGGACCGGCCGTCGGACAGGGGTGAGGCCCACGGGCCGAGATGGGCCTGCGGGCCCAGAGAGAGGGCGTGGGTGACTCACCGGAAGGGGCGGTCGGGGCGTTATAATTAATCAATAATCGGTATCCAATCCGACATTTCCGAATACTCAGATTTTTGGAGTGTTTGGGACTTAATCTTAATAATTAAATGATGGATCCAAAAAATAAATTTACAAATTCAGATCAAGAAAGAGCAAAGTAGTATAATAATAGAGAGAATTGGTTTAATATTATAACATTTTTTCCTAATTTGAAAACTGACCCCTGTTTAACTTTTTTTGAAAACTAACCTTTTTAATAAATGAAATGACAATATAACCGTTATTCAATTTTTCGAAATTATAATTAATAAGCAAAAAAGAACTTAAAAAAAATATATATATCTTAATTCTAGATATTTTAAATTTCATATATATATATATATAAAATGTTTCATATATATTAAAAAAAAAACAATATTAGTCATTCCCATCTCTAATTAAAAAATGTTTTCCTCTTTTCTCTTGATTCACCACAAAATTTCATGATTCATTTTTCATCACTCAATCTCTATAAACTCCAAAAATATGCATCACTTTGTAACAAATATAACACTCATGTTTCACTTTCTAAAAAGCTTATGAGAAGTTTTAAGGTTAAACTCACATTATGTATTTAAATTTCAAATCAGATCTTCAAAATAGATTTTTTTCTTGTTGAAATTTTATCTTAATACTATTTTTTGGAATCATGTGAACTTATGTTTTCCAATTATAATAAACAGAAATCTCTTTAGAATAACATTTTTTTTAATTTAAATAATATTAAATTCGGATATTTAAATAAATAACTTTAAAACAATTTTGTATCTAGAAAAATTGAGGGTATTTTAGTAATTTCGGATATTAAAAAATTTAATTTTCAAACATTTGAAAAAATGGCTTAGTTTTCAAAATATTTTTAATTTGTGTAATATTGATCCAAATTTCCTCTAATAATAATGCTTATTTAGTCTAAAATCAACTTAATTATAATAAGATTTGATATAGATATTTAAATTATTATACAAAAATAAGAGGAAACAATATATGGTGCTTATTTGCATAATACAAGAGAGAATTAAAAAAATATATATAAGACATTTTTGATTAATGAATTGATAGTATTTTTGAAAATATTTTTTTTTTAACTTTGATGTTTGATATTTGACAAAACAAATTATAAATCATGTTTCCTAAATCATATATATTTGAAGTTATTTTCTAATTTAACTATTACTTAGTTATTTTAGAAGTATATGTTTTTATATTTTTTTATTAATTTAATTATGTAAATATTTTGTAATTCTGTTACACAAATAATGTGTTAGGCACTTATTCCGCATTCAGCAACATTCAGCTGTTACCATTCATATTACAAATTAATCAGCCAAATTCCGCAAAATGTCTTCATTTTATTCAACCAGATTCCGCATTCAGCAACATTCAGCGGTTACCATTTAGACCCATAAAATCCACTGCAACACTTGGACTTGATCAAGCATACATCTGCAAAACAGTAAAAAACCCAGCAGTACAAGCAACAAAGTTGAGATAGTACTTGATGGTCCAAGTGATTTGGAAACTCAAATGCCACAATAATCAAACCCAAATGGCAACGGCGGCAAATTGATGAAAGGATTTTACTGTGTGATGGAATGAAATATGGTATGAGATGGATGCAAGTGAAGTGGAATGTATATGAGATGGTATGGTGCAATCACAGTCAATCAATTCCTCTTAATCATCATAGTCGATACAACATAAGAGGTTATCAATCCATAAGGGTTTGTTGTCAATCTATGAGAATATGCAAACACAAGAAAGTCAAGCAAATAGTAAAAAGATGATGGAAGTAACTCTAACAACCTAATAAGAAATGAAATGCAAAGAACATCAGTAAATGAAAGCAGCTCGACCAAGAGCTCGATCGAGTAGAAACAGAGTAACTGAGCTCGATCGAGTTGGGGGTCGAGTTGGTAAAAACAGAGGAAAGCCAATGCAAAACGATAAAGGTGCAAACTTTAAGCTACTAAGACGAAGATTAGGGCTAAAGACAGGGTTTTGCAGCTAGAGGGAGGCTATACTTAATCAACCTTGCTCTTAAACAACTTGTACTCAAGCTATCTCTTGGTATTGAACTTCTTAGCCTAGCTAACCCTTTCCCAAGGTGAAAGCTATCATCTAAAGCAAGATCTCAGAAACAGGGGGTCAGCCAGTGAGATCAAGCCTTAGAGGCATTAGAAAATTTGTTCAAACTCACCCATTCCAACACCTATAAACCATTTCGAGAGGCAAGCATATTGGAAGCTCTTAGTGGACTTGATCAAGCGATTTCCCAACATTCCCATGAGGAAAATCGCCTAGACTCATACACACCATGGATAGTGGTTGTGAAGCCTTAAGCTTGTCCAAAAGAGAGAGATTTTAGATTAAGAACATAAGCAAGAGAGATTAAGCATAAACAACCTCTAACCTATCCCATCTTAAACCCTAAAGGAACTACTCACTACACATGCGAAAAACATGACTAAATGCAATGAATGAGACATTAAAAGATAGAGGAAATGAAACTAAACAACTTTTATTGAAATAGGCAAGTGCAGAAATACAAAGATAAGACCTAGATCTAAGGTTCAAGAGCAAAGCTCAAGAACACAAAAGACAGGTTTTTTAAAAGTAAAATATAAGATTAACTAAAAAGCTAAAACAAAGAAAGGCTAAAAGAGAGATTGTTTTTCGTGGCTCAAGCCTTTAAATAGGAAAAGGATTAGGTTTAGGGTCAAAGGGGAGTCAAAGGGAAGCAACATTTTTTGGGTTTGACTTTGACTCCGCAGCTCGATCGAGTTGGTCTTGGCCGGTCGAGCTGGCGGATGGGTCGAGCTGGCTTCAAAGGCGGCTTCCTTCTTCATTCCAAGCATGTGCGGTCAAGCTGAGTCCATGCACAATGTCCTCCTTGCTCCTCACGTCTCAGTTGCTCCATAGTGCTCCAAATAGACCTGTTTAAGGATCAAACATGCACATGTATGCAAATGCAACCTAAAACTACAATGTATATATGCATAAGAAAGGAAAAGGAACAAGATATGATGCTAATGGATGCTAAAACTATGCAAAAGATGCATAAAAGATGTACTAAAACTATGTAAAATGCAAGTACATCAACGTTGAACCAAACTTATCCGCCCGGCCGACCCCGACGTCCGAACGTACAATTATCTGACCACGATCGTTCCGACCGTACTGAAGCCCGATCACGACCCGATAGCCGGCTTAACATCCCGATCGACCGTTTGAACGGTCCGGTCGACCAAAGCACGTTTTTTAAGCCCGTTTCACATGTTTTCACGACTAAAACTAATGCCTCCTCCGAAGACCTAGCACTATAAATACAACTTTTTAGCCTCTTGAGAGAGATAGCAGCATATTGTATCATGTTTTACACTTAGAGTTTTGTTCTAGAGATTTCAAGGAGAGGATCTATCATGCTTACTTCAATTTGGAGAAGTTTTCTAAACCTTTATATATCTCTGATGTTTTCTTCATCTATTTGTGTTATTGCTTTGATCATGTCTGAGTAATCCACTAGTTAGGTTGTGAGATCATGTCTAAGGTTCGATAGGTTGTTAGAAATCGATTAGGGTTCATCATTATAGATCTTCACCTTTGCTTAATCTCATTGATGCTTGCTTTTTTGATCAACTAGCATCAGATCTTAGGTTTCATATACTCTTTAAAAGCTTGCTATATAACCGGAACTAGTACTTGGTGAGCAACACTCCATAGACTGCGATAGTTGATCTATATGGGGTTCTGAATAATTGAGTCTTGAACGAATTAATGCTTGATTAACTATCGAAGGACATACCAAAAGTTTAGCGATTAGATTAGTTAACATAGGGATTGGAGCCACGATAGTGGAAAGATTCTACACCCGCGATCTAAGTTCTAGACGGCGCGTATCGATCCCTAGTGAATTCATCTATCACCTTATCAACCTTCAATCTCTGCGAGTTCCCACTGCATGCCTAGCGTTTTGTGCATCTTGATTTCATAAACTGTTTAAATTTCTTTGCTTAGTTCTTTAGTCATTAAACCCAACAAAACCCCAACATATACTTTCTTTCCTAGCTAAATTAGACTTGCAATACTCGTAGTGTACTTATCTGCTCCTTGTGTTCGATAACCCGTTACTACACCTGACCTGAGCACTTGCATAATCAGGTATAGGAACAGGTAAAACTTGATCCCGCATCAGAAATATGTGGAATACCTCCATCCCGAACATTTAGGTTTCTTGCAATTGTTGTGGAATAGATCTTGGCCGTCCATCCCATCTCTCAATCTACTCGTCCCATTTGCATTCTGCTTCGACAAATCTTCTTAGAATGGTATCTTATGTCGTCCAAAGTCATATCTTCTTGATTTGGAGGACTTTGATATTTCGTCGTCCTGTCAACTCTTCCCACATTTTCACAATGATCGTCCGCCCAGAAAATTTATTGTATCTTCAGCTCCGCTTGATCGTTCTTGATTCTGTCTCGACCAAAGTCTTCGTTTCGATCTCTAGAGTGAATCCCACTCCTTTGTCTTCCAATCCTAGAGCCTTGATCTTACCATCCCAGCCTTTGGGATGTTTTACTTATTGATACGGGGTATCACAGTGTCGGTTGACACCGATTATTGAGTTTTGCTTCTGGTTTGATTTAAGTCGTTCGGTTTGGCCAGTTTGGGCAAGGAAACTGATATACCTCTATTTTACATGCTTTTTATACTGTTTTATTATGGTTTTCTAATGGTTTTTTTATAGTGGATTCTTGTCTTGAAAGGTAGTTTTTATGGATTTATAGTGCAAAGAGTCATTTTAGGTCAAAAGGTGCATTATGGAGCAAACAGAGGATTTGGACTTCAAACCAGTCCAATGTCACAACATCTACTTTGGGAGGAGCTATAAAATAATCTACTCAATGGATTTCATCAAGACCACTTCGCCGCATGCCCTGAGTGAGTTAACTTTCCAACGCAATTGGATTCGCATCATTTGGATGAGTAGAAAAGGAGTTATGATCGATTTAGTAAAGACTGGTCCAGACGGATCGAACCGAGAAACAACGTCCTGACCGCGCGGAACGACCAACCGAGGAACAACGTCCGGACACTCTGTCCATCCCGCCTGAACGCACGGCCGAGCTCACATACCAACCCGGGAAGCATCGTCCCACGGTCGACCAATCTGAAGTCACACAACCGTAAGCCGCGCACGACCGCACCGCGCGAGCAGGAAGGCAACGTCCCCCGACCGTGCAGCACAACCCGTGTCACGCGCACGATCACACCGTCCGATCAGGAAGGCCTCGTCCCACGTCCGGCCGAATCCTTCGACCAATATCATCCGTCCGGCCGAACCCGACGAATGAACGAAGAATTTCTCGGCCACGATCGACCCGACCGTGCCGATAGCCGATCATCACCCGATAGCCGGCCGAACGTCCTGACCGACCGTCCGAACGGTCCGGTCGACCCGAAGCCGTTTTTGAAGCCCGTTTCACACGTTTCAAGCCCAACTACATGACCGATTTACTTGATCTAGGTCTAGCCGCTCTTCCATACTTAGAGCAATATAAATACATCTTTTTAGCCTTGTAACTCAAGAAGGAGAGAGACCACAATTTACTTTACATCTTTAATAAAGTTTTGCTTGCTTTTTTTTGTTCTTGCTTGTTCTCTTTCAAGAGAGGGTTCGGAACTCTGTTCTTATGAATATGAGTTCGTTTTCCTTCTCTATGACTGAGTAGTTTATTTGTTAAGTGATGGTAAGTCAAGGGATAACATTCATGATTGCTTGATGATCGATCACAGGGTTTTACTTATAATCTTCACCTCTGCGTGTGCGTAATGCTTGTTGTTAATATTGCCAATTAGCATATGATCTAAGGTTGACTTGAGTCTCGAAAGTGTTGAATCATTCGCCTGAACTAGTATTTGGTGGACAACCTCTTTTAGACTGCGAAAGTTGATTTACTTGTAGGTTGTGAACAATTGAACTTATTCGAACTAATGCTTGATTTAATCACCTAGGGACATACCAAAAGTTTAGCGACTAGGGAGGTTGATGTACTTGCATTTTACATGGTTTTAGTACATCTTTTATGCATCTTTTGCATAGTTATAGTATCCATTAGCATCATATCTTGTTCTTTTTCCCTTCTTGTGCATTCATAGTACTTTTAGGTTGCATTTGCATACATGTGCATGTTTGGTCCTTGAAATAGGTTTTTTGGAGTACTCGAGCATTTGGGAGGTGAGGAGCAAGGAAGGACTTGGTGCATTGATGTACTTGCATTTTACATAGTTTTAGCACATCTTTTATGCATCTTTTGCATAGTTTTAGCTCCATTTGCATCATATCTTGTTCCTTTTCTCTTCTTATGCATTCATGTTAGTTTTAGGTTGCATTTGCATACATATGCATGTTTGGTCCTTTGAAATAGGTCTTTTGGAGCATTCTGGAGCATATGGGACATAAGGAGCATGGAGGGACTTGGCACATGGAAGCAGCTCAACTGGACACGCAAAGGAAGAAGGGAGAAGCCATCTTGAAGACCAGCTCGACCGTCTACTCGACCAACCGGTCGAGTTCCTCAACTCGACCGGCCAAGCTTCAACTCGATCGAGCTGAGAAGTCAAAGTCAAACCCGAAAAATGTTGCTTCCCCCTTGACTTTCCTTTGACCCTAAACCTAATCCTCTTGTATTTAAAGGCTCTAAGCCACGAAAAAACCACCAAGCTTTAGATTATTTTGTTTTAGTTTCTTTTAATTTATTGTCTTTTACTTTTTAGAGATCTAATCCCATCTTTGTGTTCTTGAAGCTCTTGCTTCTTGAATCCTAGATCCTGGATAATCTCTCTTGTATTTGCACTTGCTTATTTCAATAAAAGTTGTTTAATTTCATCTCCTCTTTCTTATGATGTCTCTTTTATTGCATTTGCTTGTGTTTACATTCATGTGTAGTGAGTAGTTACCCATTAGGGTTTGAGATGGGATAGATTAGAGGTTTCATATGCTTAATCCTTCTAGCTTATGGTCTTAATCTAGATTCTCTCTCTTTTGGATAGATCTTAAGGCTACATGACCACTACCCCTGGCTTGTAAGTCCTTAGGCGACTCCCCACACGAAAGTGATGGCATTCGCTGGAAAAGATCCACTAAGAGCTCCAATATCTCTTGCTCTAGACAATAGAGGTCTAAGGGGTTGGATGGATTAGTTTGGGCAATGATCCTATAGCCTCCAAGGTTTGATTCTCACTGGCTAACCCCCTGTTTCTGAGATCATTCCTTGGTTGATAGCCTCCACCTTGGGAAAGGGTTGGCTAGGCATTGAGAAGCCCAATATCAAGAGAAGCCTTGATACAAGGAGTTTTAAGAGCTAGATTGATTAAGTGTAGATTCCTTTGATTGCAAAACCCTGTCTTGAACCCTAATTCTCTCTTATCTTGTTAAAGTCGTCACCTTTAGCTTTTTTGTCTCAACTCGACCCTAAACTCGATCGAGCTGGTACTCTGTTCTACTCGACTCGAGTCTTGGTCGAGCTGACTTCACTGCTTTTTTACTTTTATTGCACTGCATTTCATTTTTAGGTTGTTAGTGTTACTTCAAATCTATTACTGCTTGCTTGACTTTCTGGTTGTTTCATATTCTCATAGAGTGACAAGTTTCCCATTTTGGATTGATAACCCTTATACTACAATGACTATGATGGTTAAGAGGAATTGTTGATTGTGTTGCATCCATTACCATCATCTTTATTCACCCTGTTGCATTCCACCTCATTTCATATCACACACACACAAAATCCTATCATCAATTTGGCGCCGTTGCCGATTTGGGAATATTTTTGTTGCATTTGAGTTTCAAACATACTTGGACGATCAAGCTATACCACCCCTGTTCTATTGTACTGCTGGGTTTTTGTCTCTTTTTGCAGGTGTATGCGAACTCGATCGAGTCGGTCTACAGAAGACTTGGTCGAGCTAGACTTTACAACGGGTAGAAAGAGGGTTCAGAGGTCACAGAGGGTACAAGAGGAACCTGAGGTGCTTGTTGCTGATACAATGGATGTACCAGAGGGGAATGGAAACCCTTTGGGAATGGACTCGGTCGAGCTAGGCAAACTCGACCGATTGGTCAAGGAGATGCTCCAAACCGCCACCAACAGAGACAAGGGATTGTTCCACCACCAGTGCAGAACCACAACTTTGAGATCAAGCTGGGAATGATCAACCTTGTCCAGAACAAGATGTTCCATGGATTGCCAAGTGAAGACCCCATTGACCACCTTGATGAGTTTGATAGGCTTTGTGATTTGACAAAGATCAATGGTGTCTCTGAAGATGCCATCAAGCTGAGACTCTTTCCTATGTCTCTAGCTGACAAAGCTCACCAATGGGAGAAGAGCTTGCCCCATGGCACAATCACCACTTGGGATGAATGCAAGAAGGCCTTTCTTGCTAAGTTTTTCTCCACCGGTCGCACAGCCAAGCTTAGAGGAGAGATATCCAGCTTCATCCAGCGAAACAATGAGACATTCGCAGAGGCTTGGGAGAGGTTCAAAGGCTACACAAGTCAGTGCCCACACCATGGATTCAACAATGAATCACTACTCTCCACTCTTTATAGAGGATGCTTGCCTAGGTATAGGGAGATGCTAGACACAGCTAGCAATGGGAACTTCCTCAACCAGGATGTAGATGATGGCTGGCAACTTGTGGAGAACATAGCTAACTCAAATGGAAGCTATGGAGAAGAGTATGATCGCACCAACCGGAGCTCGACCCACCACTCGATCGAGTCAGACGAAAAGTTGAGAAAAGATGTTAAGGCATTGAATGAGAAGTTGGATAAGCTGATCCTAGCTCAGTCCACAATGAAGAAAGTCAACTTTGTGTCTGCTGAAGATGGAACCAGTCCAAGAAGGGGAGGATACACAATTTGCTGAGGTGTGCTACATGAGCAATGGGCAAGGAGGTTACAACAAAGGATACTATAATTACAAGTCCAACCCTGCCATGTCATACCGCAACACTGATGTTGCTAACCCTCAGGACCAAGTATATCCTCAACAACAAGCAGCTCGATCGAGTCAGGTGCCACAACATGGGTATGGTCAAAAGAACAATTACCAAGGACCACAAGGCACTTTCCCTGGACAACAAATGAATATCCCACCAGGCTTTCCCCCACCAACCACCCCAGCCTGCACCTTCACAAGAGAATGAGCTCAAGGCAATGCTAAAGCAACTACTTCAAGGGCAAGCTGATGGGGTAGTGGACACAAGCAAGAAGCTAGCTGAAATAAACTCTAAGATCGAGAACCTCAACACAAGGGTTTACTCTCTGGAGAATCATGCTTCTTCTGTTGCTGCTGCTACAAAGCAAGGACAACTACCTGGTAAAGCTATTCAGAACCCCAAGGAACAGTGCAAGGTCATCTTCACTCAAGAAGGACTTGTTGAAGAAGAGGATCAAGAAAGGGTCATTGAAGATTTTGTTTACTGCTGAATGATGAAGAGATTGTTGCTGCTGAGGCTCCTGGAGTCCAGATTGATCAACCAGAAGTGCAGGCACCTACTGTGGCCATTCACACTTCACCAGTTGAGCTCGCACGACAAGCTCGATCGGCAGCTCGATCGAGTCCAACTCTAGCTCGATCGAGTCCGACCTCTTCTGTCCGAAACCTGTTTTGCTTGATCCTTACCAACCGGTTGCCGCTTCCTCGTCTCGCCTACTTAGTCAAGGTCACAAGGAAGTGATTCACAAGTTCAGAAGAGATCTCAGTGGGATTGGAATTGAGTTGCCTCCTATGGATAGCATGAGTGAGGCATTTGATCAAATGCAAATGGTCAAGGATGTTCTAGCCAACAGTGATAAAGTTTCAGAGGTCCTAAAGAGTCTACTCATCAGTTCAACCTGCTTACTTCACCCACTTTCCTACCAAAGGTCAAGGATCAAGGGAAATTCACTCTCCCTTGCACACTTGGGCATCTTGAGATTGACAATGCCTTAGTGGATTCTGGAGCAAGCATCAATCTGATCTCTCTCTCCATGGCAGAGAAGCTAGGCATTGCTGGAGCCTTGCAGCGCCCTACTACTTCAATCATGTTTGGAGATGCAACTTCTAAGTCTCCTCTTGGAGTGTTCAAGAACTATCACTTGAAAATTGGAGAATGCATCATCCAAACTGATCTCACTGTGATGGAAATGGAAGAAGAGAAGGATCTACCTCTGTTATTGGGAACCCCATTCCTTAGTACAGTTGGCGCTTCAATAGACTTTCACAAGCAAGAAGTGATCCTTCACAAGGTGAATAGTTTGGTGTCATATCGCTTGCAGCCTAGAGGTTCAGACTTTTGTGCCACAATTGACAGTACCACTCAGTTCTAAGAGTCATGAGCTACAAAGGTTGTGAAGGAAAGGGTTGACAAAGAACCAAGAGTTGGGAAGGATAAGGTTGAGAGAGGACCAAGGATTGAGAAGCCACGTCTTGAGAGGGCTAGAGTTGAGAAACCACGATCTGATAGGCCAAGAGCTGATAGACTTGTTCAAGCCCCTTGTGTGCTTGATGAAGAAGCCTTCAAGCTTTGTTTGATGAGCCACTAGGAAGGGCTCTAAAAGAAGGGGAGGATGTAGCCTCTAAGGCAAGACCAGGTGATAAAAGAAAGGATCCACCAGCTCAGGCCCCTTCATCAAGCCATCTCAGCTCACAATGACTTTGTTCCCCACCAAGTTTGAAAATGGGAAGATTGAGTACAAGATAAGGTACAAGGGGAGATCAAGGCCATTCTCTAGAGCCAAAGCCTTGGTGACTTCAGAACAGTCCAGGGACCCAACCAAGCTAAAGGAGCTTCTGTCTCAAGTCCTCACTATCACCCTTGATGGTGGGACTAGCTCAACCAATGCCTAAGAAGGTAAAGGTCAAGCTATGGGACCTTAAACAAGCTCACTTGGGAGGAAGTCCCATGTTTATCCTTGTACATATTCTATTTATGCAATTTCTATCTATTTTATGTTTTAACCTTTCAATAAGTTAAGTTTAGGTGACAAAGGAGCCAGCTCGACCGACAGCTCGATCGAGCTAGAAACAGGGCAACTCGATCGAGTTCCACAACTCGACCAGGTAAGTTTTTGAATTTCAAATTTCTAACCGTTTTCCTTGGTCAAGGGAGTGGGTCCCACAAGTTAATTTTGGTCCCCCACTTCCTGAAATTGATCAGAAAAACCCTAGCTTTTGTCCCCTCTTTATTTCACTTTTAATCTCAACCACACATCTCAAACACTCCCTCTTCCCCATAACTCGATCGAATCCACCTTCTCTCTCCCACACTTAAAATTTCTGAAACATCTCTCTCTCTCTTCACCACAAGAAAAATCGAATTTCAATCTCTCTCTCTTAAGTTTTTGCGATTTCTCTTGTTCTTCATTGTTTGCTTGGGTTCTAGTTTACTGTCTTCAATTCATCATTCAAGCAAGGTATGAACCCTAAAACCCTTGATTCTCCATCTCGATTTCTTATTGCTTGTTTCCTTTGATTTTGATTGCATGTGTCCCTTGTGGACTTGTTCTTGAGTAATTGCTTCTTCATATTTCGCCTCTGCTATATAATCTTGTGAATTTGCCTCACCTCACCTCTGTTTTGCCTTAAACTTGTTGCATGTGCTTGAAAATTGAATTTGAGTTTGGTATTGGTTAAGGTGCTTATGTTTTCACTAGAATTGCTCATTGTTCCATTTACTAGTTGTTCTTGGTTCAATTTGATTGATTAGCATCCTTTCCAGCTCTTAATACTTGAATTAGGTTCGGTTATACTCTGTTTTCACCTAGCTCGATCGAGTTTGTCACTCGAGTTTTTTGACTCGATCGAGCTGAGTGTCGAGTTGACCAAACCGATCATTACAACTCTAATTCTTTGTAATCTTTGATGCATTTCAGGTACTTTAGTGAAGAAACAGTTAACAGATGACAAACAGTGAGGGAAGCCTGCTTCACAAGGAGAATGGTTGAGGGTGAATCAAGCAATGCAAGGGAAAGAAGGCTTAAGATGCAAGCCGATTTGAGAGGATGAACAGAGGATGGAAGAATCTGATGCAGAGGGATATGTCTACTCTGAGGAGTCTGAGAGTGAGAGATTGAGGGAGGAAAGGAGAACCAAGAAGAGGAATGATCCCATTAGTAGTGAGAGTGAGCAAGGGGAGTTTGAGATTGGAGTGAACCTTGTTCAAGAGGAGGGTATGGCTCTCCAATGAAGAAGGAAGTGATGAGACTGAGAGTGAAGAGGAAGGAGAAGAGGTGAACATTGGTTGATGAAGTGATCAAGAGGAACCAAGATGAGCCCATGGAGGAGGCTGAGCAGAGCAAGAAGGAGGATGAGCTCCCTATGTACCAAGAGCACTACAATGCTCTCTTCTCCATGGACTTTGTGGAGACCAAGTACCCACATGATGACACAATGAGAGGCCTTGGGATCTTTGAGGATGTGGAGTTGGTGCTCAAGAACATGCACT